ATATATTATGAAACGGCCATCTTTATTGACCCATCTGCACGCAGCCGCCTAGGGAGCCTCTCTCCGGATCTCAGGATCCTGGAAATGGATCGATTTCATCAACAAGAATGGCATGTACCATAGTTCACCCACCCATGGAAATGATATCAATTGATATTAATATCCATTAATGGATGATCTTGGTGGTATATGCAGATGTTTAAAAAATGGTTGATACACTTTCAGAGATGGGAATATTGATGATATCATGAGATGAAACCGTTGGATGATGGCGATACTTGCTTTGGAGGGATGAATCCGTCCTCGTCAGTCTCCATATCGTCATCATCATCCTGCAGAGAAGAATTGGTTTTCTTGGTTCCAGGGTAAAGTTGGGACTTTCTGTGCTTGCGGTACCTGTGGTCCAAAACATTATGGCGATTCTCTCCGATCATAGCTGTCTTGGCTATGAGGTGTTCATATCCAAATTTGGGACCCACACTATTCTTCAGTTCTTCCTTTCTGCGGACCATCAGTTTCGGAACCTTTGCTTTCCCTGATCCTATCGTATTCCGTATTGCGTTCTATTCCCTGTCTCTTCACAAGAATTCAATAAAGTCCTCCAGGTCGAGTCTTTTCTCCGCTTCAACATGGTTAAGCCGTTAAACCATGCTAGACCATGTTAAACCAACTTCCCTCTTTTTATGAAACATAGGTAAACTATAGGCACGGGCACAAGCTTTAGCTAGCCTCCGTGCGCAAGCCCCTGTATTTTCAGGAATATCCAATCAGGATTCTTTCTCTGCCATGTCAGCCTCGCGTGCAATTCAAGCAGCATCCATCTTCTACTTGGACAGCCTTTTGGCGACCGCTTCTGCACTATATACAAGCTCCTGCTTGTTGTTCTGGCTACATTACATTTTTCTACATCGACATTTTCTCTAAGCTATTTTCTGGATTTGTCGTATTCAACTCCTTCCTCGAGGCTGTGGGGGAAGCCTTGCACAGTCTCTTCTACATCTCATTCTCCGAGTTTGCTGGAACCAGTACCGATTCAACCATCTCTTACTTGGTCTCATTGTGTCTGGTTTCGGTTGAGTTATTCTCCTGCTTGCAATTCCAGACAATTGTCTACTTCATCGACATTTTCTCCACGAACATTTTTCTTGATTTTTCACATTTCACTCCAAGATCAAAGAGGTCTTCCACATCAAGTCCTACTTTTCACTCTCTTCTTTTGCTGGAATGCACACCCATCGTCATTCTGTACAGAAGAGGCCGTGGCAATCCCCATTTCCTGTTCTCTCGGGACTGAAAGTCCCTGTTTATAAAGTGAAATTTGTTATAAGGACTTTTTGCCTGGAAGTAACCACCGCCAGGAAGCTGTTATCATCAGCTCCGACCACACCATGCCACATCACAGGTGGCGAATTTTTATTAAGCTCTCTCCGCTTCAATTTTAGGGGCCAAGACAAAATTTTCCTTCTAGCCACATCAACTCCATTGCCTTGCAGCTAAAGCACGCAGGGGCCGCCAGAGGCGTGCCGGGAGACCACGGTCACTCCATCGTTGTTACTTTCTCCCTTTTTTGTTCTACTCTCCAAAGCGAGAGACAAGTGGTCACGAACCCTGCTGTGCGACACGGGACCGATCTCCTTAAATATCTTAAATATATTTCTCCTTTATGATTATTGTTTCGCCGTCGTTTCGTTGGTTTTGGGGTCCACTTACACAAAACCATGGGGTCCCGTGTTATAGGTGCTGGTTAGTAGCTTATCCTGCAGCCACAGATTCTCCTGTTCTTTTCTCTTTTTCTCTTTTTTCATCTTGTTTCTCCATTCGGCTGACGGAAAGCTGCTGCTGACGTGTAGTTCGACATGAACTGCATATCGCTGCGGAAAAAAAAAAGGTAAACTATGGAAAACCAACTTCCCAAGTTCCACGTCCTCCATGTGTGGCACATCCAAAACACCCAACCGGGAGATGGAGCGGCAAGGCAAAGGACCCGCCGGCCTCAGGGCGTCCCTTGGAGAGGCAAACATGGCATCAACGTGGCATCTTTTGCGGGTGTTAGCTTTGACCCCAATAAGCTACTGTAGGCTACCCGTCATTTCCTTCGAAAAATCATACATGCAGAGCTTTGGCCGAACAGTAACTTGAATAGTATCTTCCTTTGAATATGGGTCTGGCTCAAAAGGGCCAAGCGGACCCGGTCCCAAAAATAAGGTACCCCAAAATCCCATGTACATCGGTTAATCCCCCAGTTTCAGACACACCCAAATAATTATGGTATATATATATATACGTATATATATATCATTATATATCCGACTATCTCCCATTACATCTCCATTAACTACCTGGCAATTTTACACCACCAAGCATGGCTCATTTGTTGTTAGATGATCTACGGTAGCTGCGTTAAATTAACAGAAGGAATTGTAATTCCCATTGAATCTCTATGAATTACTGACGATTAAATCCCCCAGCTTCAGACACACCGAAATATCACTGAGCCGCCCTACAATTCTCCACGACCGAGGCCAACACAAACCGCCACCGCCGTGCGTGGGCAAGGCTCAGAGCAAAGAGCATTGGGTTACCCAGTTGATTGGGAATCCAGTGGGAACTTGTTGGGTCGAAAATATTTTACGATATTTTGGGGTCATAAAATCTATATAGATAACATGCTATAACTGGATAGCGTTGAATCCAACCGTTTTCAGGTCCTTGAACCTCTTTTTTTATCACTCCTATATCAAGTTCAAGCAGCAACCGAAGCTGTGGTTGGTTTTGAAGCTGAGGCAACAACCAATGGCGGAACCACGCGATCTTCGCGCCATTTTGCAAGCTCAGTGTCATAGACAGGCACTGCAGACATCTGCCTGGATGAATCAGCCATGTCGTTGCCACAAGGGAGGCGTCAACAGGAGGAGTATTGGTATACATTCCATGATGGCAGAAGAGATGCCCTAGATTGCGTCTGGATATTCCGGTAAGTCCAAATGTTGGATGGGTGGGGTTGGCTTAGTGGCTTGGTGGATAGCAAGCTGGTTCTACCCCTTTGTAGCATACGGTCATCAAAGGGTTGCAATGGCTTGTCACATATAGTCACCCATCATACCCCCATGGCCCATACCATACCGTAGCCACCGTAGCCACCTGATTCTGGACACTTCTGGAACTTCATCGTACTTCTCCCCACCAATGACCACCACGCAGCGCCGATCAGTCTCAGTTCAGCTGGATTTACGGGTGCAGCTAGGGTAAGAAATCAAACAACTCTTAGCTTCTCCCCTCAATAAAACTGGATGGTTTAGTAATGTTTAGTATAGTACTATTATATAACATGTAGATGACAAAGCTGGATGGTTTAGTAACTAGTGGATGAATTCCTGAAAAGAAGCTGATTTTTTCCAAAGATTGCAGACTCCAACGCAAGCCAAGCATCCACAGGGTATGTCTTCCCACCAGAAGGCAGTGACAGCACGGCTGCCTGCAGCTTGACAAAGACGTTGGGACTGGAAAACCCAAGGTGATTCTGGACAACCCGAGTCTTGAGACGCAAATCAGCGCAAAATAGTGCAAATGTTGGGGGCGAATTGTTGTTGAAACTGTTTCGACACTTCATATTCATACTTTGAAACCCATGATCATCCATAATCTAAGTGCAAAATGGGTAGAGAAAGATATCCTCTACTGTCTGCATGCAGCGCCTGACAGCCCATTCGCTTGTCAGGGAGGTCATCCTGAGCCACTGCCGCAAGTTTGATCTGTTCAAACCACCAATCATCTGCCACGAAAGGCCAACCCATGTTTGAGATGTCGCAAATATACCCAACAATGACAAACTCAGATGATAATACAACAATGAATCTTGGGGAGTAGAATATTTATCTTCGAAATGCAAAGCATACAACTGGCAGAAACTGAGGCCCAAGGCAATTTTCTCATCTTCAACTGCAGGCAAGCCTTCTGGAATCTGAACCCGATAGACCTGCCGCTTGGCGAGTTGACTGTATATGTACACTGTCATTGCAGTGATACATATCATGTTGCCTTTGTACTATTGCAATACTATTGTCATAATATGCCATAATCAATAACATGTATAATGCATTATAATGCCACATAATACGTTGGTACATTTAAAAATGAAAAATGTCAAATGTTGGATCCATATGGATTTGTCTGGAAATATGGTAGCCTTCAATCCAGCCAGTTTACCGATTAAAATTGTCATTTGGGGGTATGTCCCATTTTCAGACTGAACCAATGTTTTGGTATACACCCCATTATATCCCCATTAAATCCAATTAGGTCCCTCTTGCTGATGATTAAGTGTTAAGTCCCCCCCATTTGCAGACACACATGTAACTGTACATTCCTATATACCCCATAAATATTCATACGTATATCTATGTCTATGTATATATATATGTGCCATTGCACTATTGAAATATTATGTCATAAATTAATCACATCCCCGATCCCCCTATATAATATTAAACCCCCCATTGTATGGTCCCAAAGATGTGCTTTTTGTCACCTGCATCCACCAAGGTTTCTGCTGAGGCTTTGATATTGAGGGGGATGGGATTACTCCATTGTGAGATTGATGTTCCTGTTCATACTAACATTCCATTCCATTCATAATCCCATATGGGAAAATCCCATTCCCATATGAATCATGATATTACCAGTTATTGCCCATCAAAGGCCATCATTGACCATGACTCGCCATGATCAAATCCATGAATAATCCCATTCCCACTATATCACCATATCATTATAATCCCATTCATAATCCCATTCATAATCCCATACATAATCCCATTATCAACCAGCATTAACCATTATTAACCATCATCAACCATCATTAAATCCCCATTCCATATCCACATATTTTTCATAATATGGGATAAATAGGAAAAGGTATGGGATAGGGTAATAATGGTTAATGATGGTTAATGATGGTTACTCTCTAGTAAATTAACATAGACCCTGCCAGGGCTTGGAAG